TCATGTTCAAGGTGTCTCTGGAGAAAATACTTTCAATTGTGTCAAAAAGTGGTGGGTTTGGATATTAGCATAAATGTATATCAGAAAGAGATGAGATCATTAGACTTAATTCACTAACAAGCAATGTTCCCAGAGGTGTGCTGGCATCTTTCCAAGATACTGGAAGATGAAGTTATCCAGGCATGATAACAGGTACTGTAAATAAAAGTTGCTAATTTGACCACAGTTATTTTTGTTCTATCTCCATTCAAAATAGGAGAAAATAAGCGTTTCTAAATGTAGAAAGACAGCAAAAAAAGGGGGAAAGAAGGAAAACACTTTAATCGATGCTTTAAAGACAATTCTATCTTAAGTTATTGAGAGATTTCACATTTAGTCTTTCCTCTGTGTTGTTTCTCTCTTTAGATACAGTGTGTTTCTGGGCAAATTCCTCAAATGGCACTGTGGGAGAGTACCTACTAAAGAAGGTCCCCCTTGAGGCACCCACTAAGCACTTACCACACCAGGCCTACTGAATGGTATAAAGGTCAGCTGTTCAGAGGCACACACCTGAAATAGCACAGAGATTCTCTTTATTTGGTTGGTAGGCAAGGGAATGCCCTCAGTAGTTTTTAATAAGACAAGAGGAAGGAATTATAAATGGAGTTTGTTTTGTGTGTTTTCCTTTTAAGAAAGGAGGGAGGGGGGAAATGTAGTCTTACGCTCTATTACCAGTCCACGGTACAGAATTTGGATTCCTGGCAGATAAGCTTGCATGACAGGGAGATGAAAGATCACTGTAGTGAGAACTTCCACCCTTATCTCAGGGAGTGACAGACAGAGGTCCAAGACAAGAAGATGCATGCACCCACATGCACAGAATTTCTAGATCTGTTTTCCACGAATGCCCTATTGCTCCTTCATGTTATACCTACTATACCCTTCATGACATTAGAAAGGAAAAGAACAGCTCAAGTGTTTTTAAATATTAGTTCAGAGAAGTGTTATTGGACTTGTGAATACATATTTTGAAAAAATAAATCACATAAATTATAATCAGAAAAATATCAATAATTAATAACCACTCTCCTGCAATACACAATACACACAAGTTGGAAATTCAGACTAACCTCTGCATTACTCATTCATTTGTTTATTATTCCCAGATATATTCCTTGAGGAGATGTAATTTTATAGTCCAAACATTTTGTCATTTCCATTCAGCATGTTCATTTTCCATAGCACAATGATTCTTGCTTTGTGACAAACAGCCCCAAGTTCTTTATGCCTGTGCAGGAAATCATGCAAGGGAAAGGGGAGTGGTCTCCTGCACCACAAAGCAGCATGCATTAGCAATGCAGTATGAGCACACACAGAACCCTCTTTAGCATGAATGCAGAGCCATCAAGATGGAAGCTGGTGACTTTTTTCCCATTTCTGCATAAATCATAAGAAAACTGTTATAACACTTCATTTCAAACTGGTTTTAGGATGTTTCTGCCTGCTACCTTCTCAATTTCTCAGTAGTTGTCATCGCCCTTATTCTGAGTGAATGCAGGAAAACATAGCTTATTTTACATGAAAGAATTGACAATAACCACAGATAATAATATTACTTTCCTGGTATCCATGGAAAAAATTTCTATTAGGAGTCTAATAAATCATTTTCTGATAGTGAGTTTCTGAATCTTTGGAAGGATTAACTGCATTTTTCCTCCCTTCACCATATTATTTTGCTTCCTCCATCTGTACATTTGTTTTCCAGGCAGCAGTTCTCAGTATGCTAATTTTCAATCAGAAAAACTGTCCCTCATGCATTTTTAGAATTGTCCCCCCAAAAAATGTTGCCTTGCATTGTGGCATCTCTGTGTTAGTTATATGGTCTCCTTAGTAAGTAAATACTGTGGACAAGTTAACAGAAGTTGGAGCTGCAAAACTTAAACCTTCTTGTGAATTGAGATTTTTAAAACTGTGCGCACTAATGATGCTCCTATCACAAGCCACTTCAGAAGTATTCATATTATCAGTAGGAACATGAATCTTATTTTGATTTCCTTGAACTCTGAATAGTAAACGTTAAGTATTACAGAATATCTTTAAAACAAAATTTACCAATAATTCTGTTTGTAACAGCACTGTCTTCTCTTATCACACCCAACAGCAGCTATTACTGACAGAATTATTACTCCACCAGCTACAAAGAAGGCAAAATATCTATGAATCAAGGCATCATACATATACTAAGCCGTCCATTTTCTTCTGCTATAGCATTTTTGAAGGAAAAGAAAGAGGAATTAATAAAACAGTTCTATGGACCATTCTCTAAGGGGACACAGGAGGGACAGATGATGGTAGAAGAAAGGAACTGTGATAAATAAAATTACTGGTAATTTCCCTTAGTCATATGTCCTCCTTCACCCATCGTACCCAGAAGCGGAAGTTAGCTGACAGAAGATTAGCAGGTAGCACACAAAAGGAGCTAGGGCTACTACACTGTGAACTTGGCACACCTGATAGGCACAGCATAATGCCAGAAGATAAGGACATTGCTGTGTGTAATTGTGAGGAGACAAGTCTCATAAATTTCAGTGATGGGTACTTCAGTCCTTGGTGCTCAGGCAACCTCTATTCCCCAAGTTAAATAGCACTTAGCACTGACCAGGTTATTTAGCCTAGCCATAAGCTATCAGAAAACAAATTCTAATCCACCACAAGAAGGTTATTTTAGTGTTGTTCTTTCCTTTATTGAAATTTTCAAAACAGCTGCTTTACCTTTCATAAAACCTTGAATATAAATTTAAAACTCCCAAACTTACTTGCAATTAGTTACATCTGCTGAAAAAGTAGGGGATCAAGACACAGTTAAAAAAGAGCAATGACTTAATATAAAACTGTGAACTAACTTATTGGGTTTAACTCAGGAAGCTGTCAACAAACTGTCCACTTTTCAAATAAGGCAGCATTAAAAGAAGAAAAATAACTCAATGTCTTCATTTTGAGTTAACATGACTTCAGATAAAAAAAGACTTTCTTAACTGAAGACCACTCTACTTAGTCATGTCTCCTAAGCTTTGAAACTCCTAAGCTTTGAAGAGCAAGTGAGGAACCAAAGCATGCTTTTCTAACTTAAGTGCCCCTCAAAGCCTTAATAGGACTGCTCTTGAATGAAGAAAGCAAAAGTTACTATGGAAGGCAAGGTCTTATCGGTGAGATGAACTGCTCACAGAAATAGCAGGAAGAAAAATGAAGACCTCCTTGTGGGAGCCAGGTTAGAAGATGCTATCTCTGAAAGCAATGGAAATCATATTCTTACCTTGTCTAAAACCTCCCAAAAAATGGCCTCTTTATATGCACCATATGGCACCTCTCTCATCATTTCAGCTTCAAACTGCGAACAGCCAGTTTTATAAAGGTTGTAGATCTGGCTGTAAATTTGGCTTTATCAAACACAATGTCCCAGAGACACTGCCTGCATTTTAAATGTATATAGTGACTATTAGATCTGTCTAAGACCAAGTGATGACAGGCAGGTGGGCAAGACAGTGTGCCCAAAGACCGAGTGGACTGAGACACTGCTTGAAACCCTAAGCAGAAAGGAGGATTCCCAGGATACACAGACTCCCTCTAAAGTCTCAGCAAACAACCCATGATCCAGCTGCTGACAGAACAGCACCCTCTTGTGGGAGAAGAACGCCAACACCTGCACTGATCCAGAAAGATCAATCAGTCAACCCATGGCAGCAGGGAACAGGATTACTTCCTCAACAGTAACACTTGGATCAAAGGTTCCAGGAGACCAGGGCATCCTCTTCCCCAAAACCCCAGTGGAGAAGAGGGAGGGGGAAGAGTAAGGCATGGGGGAAAAAGAAGACCAAGCAGCATTGTTACCAATGCAGAGAGCTGATAGGAGAGAAGAATGCAAAACAGCTTGGGCCTTGGGCCTGGCAAGGATAGGATTGGTCACCTGGCACTTGATCCTCTAAAGTGACAAAGTGATAAAAGAGAGGCAGTTGGCATGGCAGAGGTACATCACACAGGCTAACTGAATCAGAGATTACGCATCTCTGATTTGTTACTTTATAGAGTGATGAAAGGTAAACTGAGGGGGTTGCAGCAGTGAGGCTGGATCTCTGGCTGTTAGAGATCTGGATGAGAGAGCAAGTTGAGAAACAGAGGACTTCTCTGTCTTTCTTTCCTACTCTTCTCTGCTAATATTTGTCTCTGACTTTCTCCTTCATTTTTTCTTTTCTTTTTCCACGAGCTAGAGCCACAGTAGGAGAGAAAAAAGAGGAGGAGGATCAGGAAAGTATGTGGAAGGAGGTGCATATTCCATGCTTCCAGAATGCAGAAGATAATGGAAACAAAACCTCAACATCAAGGAACTAGACTGCTCCTTAGAAAACAGCAGCACACACATCGTGTCTTTCATCTCCCTCCCCACTGGGCGGTGGAGACATAACGCCCTCAGTAATTCCCATCAGGTGCAGGATGAGAGGAGAGGAGTGTACACAGATGTAATGTACCTCACCTTCAATGAAAGCATGGCTTCCTTTTCCTGATGTCTTTATACTTTAAGAAAAAAAAAAGTTTATTTTTTGTTTAACATCAATTGTGTGCATTTTGTTTTTAAACAAAAGCAAGAAAGTAATTCAGAGGGTAGCTGATCCAATAACCTGAACAACTTGGATGACTGTAATCATGAAACCAAAGGCTTGGCATTCCTCTTCATACCCAAGACTTACACCCCAAGTAATTCACAGCTTGTGCACTTACATACATTGTGTAGACATACACACGCGCACACATGCACAGAGAGAATGAAAATACATTCTCATTACACTAAGGCTATGCAACTGATCAGCAGCAAAAAAAGAGGGACTTTTGCTCACAGACACATACGCACGCAGAGTAGCCATAAGTGGATAATGGTGGCACACTTTACAAGCGTAGTAAGATCAAACATGTACAGAGGATCAAGACTTTCTCCTTAAAATTGCCTGTTGATTTTTTAATACACTCACTGTTATAGCGTCTGTAGCTGTCAATCTTTGCCGGTGCCCCTCTGTACAGAATTGTCCCCTCAAAGGCAGATTTTCCTGACAGCAAATGAGAGGAAAGGAAGAAAGAAAAAACAAAACAGGGAAATGGAGACATCGATGATAGTAAAGAAAAGGAAGAGGAAGAGTTTTTTATCTGCACTTTCAATAACTAACTTTTAAAAAGCTTTATCAGCAAAATGACAAGACCAAAAACTACAGCATCCGATCGCACATTTGCTTAAAAATATTCTCCCTTCATGCATGTCAGATAGAAAAAATCTTATGGTTTTCCAAATCATTATTAAATCCAGTTAGAATATATTGTTTCCAACAATACTGGACAAAAAAAAGTATTTGGCTCAAAATTTTTAGACCTGTGAATGCACATCAACAACATTAAAACTGGGTTTACATCCTGTTTTGTCTCTTTATGACACATAAAGCAAGTATGAAAAAAAACTTACCTATAAAATTTCTTTTCTATTTAGTTTTTGCCTTAGGCACTACTGATTTTAGTGAAATTTGCGCTAGTATCACTGAGCTGACATTGATGCCTCTGATGTTGGCACACTTTGCTAGCTCAGGGCATGTACCTTATAGAAACGTAGGTAACCAAAACAGTGGAATTCCTTTAATGCAGATGTCCTAGAAAAGCCTTTGATTTACTGGAGGCTTAGGGTTGGTTTCAAGTGTAGATTAAGAGCTTTAACACATTTTGTATTAAATGGATGGAATGGTGAATCTCAGTAAGTTTTTGACGCAATGGCTTAGCCAGGCTTGTTGCCTGAATAAATACTAAAAAAAAGCAAAACTAAAAAGAAGTTTCAGTACAGCTATAGATTTTGCTGTAGCCACTGTGATCCAGAGAACATAAGAACCAATTTTGTTTGGTAACAACTTGAATTGGACCAACTACATTGTTGGGAGAAATATTAGGTTTTAGGGCACAAAATGCCCTTCCTCAGGTCTGGGAAAGAAGATAATGAACCCTAAGTTAAATGCCAAGTAAACAATGACTTTTATTTAACTCCATAATGGAGGAAGGACATATAAAGCCTGAAAGCTTTTCTAACATACTGTCTAAGTATGGAGTAGATCCAACAGAAATCCAAAACAAACCTTTCTCATCACACAAAAAATTTAAACAGTCTGGATAAAGACCACTTCCTTAATTAAGTCTGTGTCTTCATTGACAGAAAACATATTTTTCTCAGTTGTGTCTGTAACCAGTGAGCTAACACTTAGATTCTAGTTATTCTGTTGTACACACCTACTCTCAATCTCCAGCTGGTCTCACATGCACTTATCACAGTAAAAACTGCTTGCCCCTGTCTCTACGATTTCAATTGAGGATACTCTACATGTGCAAAATCTCACTGTAAAAATTACACCTTTTTGATACTGAAAACATAGCCTAGGTTTCACTGTATGTCATTCAATTATAGTTGACAGAAATAGGGCTATATAAATCTGTACACATTGGCAGGGGAAAAAAGCCATGAAAAGATCCCATTCCTACCTTATACATGATAAGGAAACAAAACAACTACAAACCGCTTTTCTCCTTTGCAAGTCACCTTAATATAATAATACATTTCATTTAAAGTCAGGAGTTAAGAAATTAAAGGCACCTACAGTCAGCTACAGGACAATGAAGAGACAGCAAGAAAGATGGAAAAGGACAGCTGAAGTGTAGAGAAGTTAAAATATAGTATATTGCCTAACTACAGCATTAGCAACAAAATTTATCATCAATCCTGGATCCTGCAGTTTTCCTAGGCAGCTAACATCCTGAGGTTTAAAACATATCCAGTATATTTAATCAGGCCTAATCATATCTTAATTTACAAACATGCAGGAGGGATACAAGATAAAACCAGTCATCTGTAAATGTCGTGACATGTCTATGAAATCACCACTTTCAAATAAGACTTGAATTCTTTAGGTTATAATAGTCATTTTGTTACAGGAGTCAACTGTCCCACCCTTTGATAAACTAACTGTAAGTAGAAGACACGGCATTTAGGGGTCTTCCAACATAGAAGATAATTATATAGTGAGAAGATAAGACATCCAAGAAATCTAGAAAATAAATGGAGACCCGTATATCCAATCAAAGATAAAATTATAATACAAATATTTCATGGATACTTTTTAACATTCTGGTATTATCAAAGCAGTGCATTTTTTATATCAGTTGGACCATGGAAGAACAGGTGGCTAGTATGAGTAAAGGTATCTGAACTGGGCTCTATGGAAGCTCTGAAATGACTGGTCATTTTACAGACTGATAAAATATTTTAAAATCTTGAAGTAGTGTCCAGATGTCTGAAAAATGCCAAATGCCTTCAATCCAGCAGGAAGTACAGGTTCCCAGTTGTTCTGAAAAATCAGGTCAAGTGAGTCCCAAATTCAGCACCTGAGACCAAACGCTGCTTTTTGAATATATTGTTCTGAGGCCATAAATAGATGTTGCATTTCTATCACAAGAAAGTGTTTTGTCCCAAAACCCTACAGATGTGAAAATCCACTGTTTCACTTCAAATCCCACTGAAGTATGTGCTATTAGTTTGTCCCAGGACACTGCAGTGTGCCTCCGTAACATTACTGTGACAGGCTGATCAGAATGTGTACTCTTCCTGGCCACCTACTGGCTGAGGAGCAGCAACACAACTTGAGAGGACAATGCAAGTCGCCGTGCTGTGCCTGTTTTGATTCAGGTCAAATCTTGGAAACAATCAGGCCCACATCAAATACAACATCTATTTACCACCTAGGAGCCTTGTCCAAAGTCAACCTGTGGCATTGCTGAGGAGAAAACGTAGGATTTCTCATACCAAGCCACATACGAAGAGTCACCATGAAACGCTCATTTGTCCTAATAAAGAGGAAACAGTTCAAATTCCAAACGCTCCTATTTTTATTTTTGTGCACAGAGGAGAGGATATTTTCTCTGACTGGCTTTAAGCAAGCACCAAGGACAAATACTATTAATCTTCTGTGTACTTCCTTGACTCTGGTCACTGAAGTTTCCTTCTAACCAACACACTCCAAGAGACAGTCAGTAAGAACGATTAAAAACGGAATCATGGTAATATTTGACTTTCCACCCTTTCAGAAAAGGATCCCAAATTGTATTATAAGTCTTGATGAATTAGGCCACACAACAAACCCATAGAAGTATCACTGTATGCATTTTGCAGGTGAAGCTGAATTTAAAGCTACTGCCCAAGATTACAATGCAGTTTCCCAATCCTGAAATCCTGTCTTCAAAGGCAGATCTGAAGATGTACTGGGGCCTGCAAGGGGCTCTGCATGGGTGCCCAGTCCAGCCAGGCTGACTGTACAAAGGGAATACAAAATAGTAACACAGAATTCATATCCAAGATTTCTCTAGAATAAGCATGTATAATTTCTAACTAAGAGCTGCAGTCTTCCACAAGGTGACTCAAGCCTAACAAGGAGCATTTTAAGACTAAACAGAGGTGCCTTGAGCCTAAAAACCTAGAACAGAATCACTGTTCTAGATATACTCTGCTTCAAGCAATGCTACTCCTCAACAGGCCAGAGAAGTTGTAATATATAACAAGGGTATACCACTCTTAGGAAAGCAAGATACTATAGCTCTACATTAGCTTATCACCCACAGGTATGACTTGCAGGCCATACCCAGTCCCAAAGTGACTGGATCCGACTCACAGCATCAGCAGCATGCAGATCGGCCCAGTGCATCCCCTTCCCTGCCCTGTGCTGTGCTGCCATGCCACTGATTACCTCCGCTACCTAGCTGGAGGTAAGCTTTTCTGTTTACGCTGAAAGAAAATGATAACGGCAAGTAGTGATTACAGAGCAGTCTCTACTGAAACATGCATGCAAATTTCGCATTACTCTTGGAATCGTTCTCTTTCTTGCACCCTTCCCTAAATTGCTAGATGTTTGTGGAATATTTTAATTCCAAGATGAAGACCATTCCAAATGAAGATCTTATCAACCCCAAACCCAGGAAGCAGGTTGCCAATACCTCCATAAAATCCAGGCACTCTATCTACAAATAAATAGGAAAAAAAACAACTCTCTTTCAAACACTGCAATGATTTTCCTTAAATGAAAAAAAAATCTCACAGGAATTGGGATTTTCAACTCATCAGTAAGTGAATTAACAACTGTTCAACATTAGTACTGTATTTACTTGATTCTAAAATGAGGGTGTCCCCGCTCATTTAAAATGGAGATAAAAGCCCCTTGTCTTGAGGGTGGTGCGAGAACAAGCAGCTGCTGTTGCTGGGGCTCCAGCCCCTACCTGGGATCGGGGTGTAGCTGAAGCAGCTGCCCCTACTCCTCTCCACCCCCACCTCTGCACCCTCACCACTCCCCATGCAGCCTCTCCTCCCCTTATCTTTGCTCCATGCCAGCAGACACCATCCACACTGCAGCCTGGGGCATGGAGCCCATAGCATCCACAGGCTGCTAGCAGAGAAAGGACAGGGGCTGTGCTCAGTGCCCCAGGACACAGCCTGCTGCCTGGAGCAAGGGTAAGGACAGGAGGGAGGAGCAGAGGTTGGAGGGGAGGAAAGGGAGGGTGGGGAAGGGGAGCAGAGAGGTTGGGGGAAGAGGCAGAAAGGGAACAGATGCAGAGGGGGAGGAAGGGCCCCAAAGGCTGAAGTGGGGGCGGGGAGGGGCAGGCACAAGCAGGAGGCAAATTGTTTGACCTACCCACACCACCTACCTCTTCACTGCCTGCCTCCTGCAGCAATGGAAGAGATGAATTAAAGATAATCCACTAATAATTAGATTCTAGACATAAAAAATTCTAACAAATTTATACATTTTCTATGTATAGAATCTAATTATGGGGGGTCATCTTTAATTCAAGTGAATACAGTAATACTGAGATTCTGGCATCAGCCTACAAAAGACTGTACACCTCGTTCATTTGTGCCTAACTGTAACACACAACTCAGCTTGATTTAAGCATTTAAAATGCTGCAAAGAGCAAAACAGCTTATAAAGGGACAATTTAGCAGATAAGCTTGCCATTATGCTGAAATACATAAATGCAGTTGGAAAGCTTTTTTTATGCATGGTATATATAATGCAGGACCTGATAACCACACAATTTGGAGATAGCATAGAGAAACTTTATTTAAAAAACAAACAAACAGTAAAACAATTATCCACTTCACACTGCAATGAATTTATGGTTAAGGTTATTCTCTTTATATCAAGGAAAATTATACACCAGGAAAATCCATCAGCACCCTCACAGTGCTACCAGTTGAGACACCAAATATAAAGCAGTACTGGAAATTCAGGTGAGTGTGTGGCACTATCTAAGGGGAAGGAAGCCTTGCTCCCAGCTCTGGCTTTTTGCTCCTTTGGTTTCAGGGGCTTACAGTGATAGGTGTGGTAGATGCATGCTCAGCATTATGAAGGAGAAAGTGGCCTACATCCCCAGTGGCGCATCTAGGGTCGGATGACGGCCAGCGGCCCCCAGGACAGCTGCTAAAGGTGTGGGAGGGGGGTACAGCTGCCACTGACAGACATGTGATCATACCGATGGCGTGGAGGCAACCAGAAGTTGCAGCTGCCTAACACCCTGGGCACCTGGCTATGTCACTATGATGCTGTATGTCCTTAAACCCACAGGAGGACTCATGGTAAAATAAACTTACTCATTTATCATGCTAAAATACATTTTTAAAAAATCCACCATGTAGATGCAAATTTGCTTAGTTATTGTAGTCAAGGACAAAATGGCCACACATTTCATTCTGACATAGAACTCCTAAACAGATACAAGGCAACATTGCTTAGTCTGTAGGCTAATAATAGATGGGGAAAAAAGTTTTAACGAAAAGGACTATACCTAAAGTGACAGCATTCATGGCCTTATACAGTACAACCAGCCAAAAGACTTATTCATGGCAGCAGATTTTTGAAGAGGAATTCAGACTCCACATAAGAGGTAAAAAGACATGGCCATTCTAGCAAGTTAAGCAATAAACAAAAAAAACACAGATTGGGAAAGGAGGAGGGGGATTCCAAACATTGATAAGGCTTTGTTCCTTACTTGGCTTAGTTATTTGTTCCTGCTGTGCAATTCCAGCATCGTCTGAATCAGAAAGCTCCTTTATGAAGTTGGAGGGAAACATGCCAGTCTTTCCATTAAGTATTCCTTCCCACCAGCCCTCTTCCACCTGCACCAAGACACAAGCAGAGCAAAAATGTAGTTAACACCTACACCACTTTTCACTTACACAGCCTGGGATACAAATCTATAAGTTCCTATAAATATTAAAATGATGATCTTGAGCTGCTTGCATGAGTTCTTCACAAGGGTTGGGAGCACAGTGTATAACATAGCAAACTTTTCATACCCACAGGATGCATGCATAGTATTTCCCAATTCATTTGCATCTGCAGGATTCACAACCTGCTTAATTCACAGCCAGCTGCCAAGCACAGGACAAGTCAGGCAGCTGCTTGCTAGGCTCTGACTTCAAAGGGAGCTGTTTCTCCACTCAGCTGGAGCTCATCAGTAGTCCTGCACAGCTGATGGGAGCAGCAGCACTCTTTAAATTTCAAGCTCCAGGAAACAAATGGAACATCTCAGCAGTCCCACACAGTTGTGTGCTGCAGTTCTGGATACTCCACTATCCTTCCCAAGCCTTCATCTTTGCTTAAGGGTAAGGAATTTCAAAGACCTGGGCTGCTTCTGTACATTTTCTGCTCATGTTTACATTATTTTTACTTGTTCAATTACTACATAGACAAGTCATAAATAAAATGAATGAATGGTACTTTACAATGATAGAGCAATACATATTCTTGCACTTCACTTTAAATAAATTGATTCAACCACCAATATATCAGGTACTTTTTGTTGTTAAAATGTGACTCCCATGCTCCTGCTCATGACAGGATGTAAATATGAACACAGTATCTACATGAGAAATACCATATCTTTATCAGCAACTTCTTAACATTTCCACTTCATTACATGATAACAAACATCACATAAAACAGAAGAAATCTGGAAAGAGAGAAAGAGAGAATAGGAAGGAGAGCATTCATGTGCATCAGATTCCAGAACAGACAATAGGACCTACTGGTTCAGAGATCATACATTTTATTAGACCAACCAAGAAATCACAAAAAAAATATCTTTTTCTGCAACCTTTGTCAGGCTCAGGGCAAATTAAAGACGGTAAAAAGTCCCCATAGGTAGAAAATAAACTTCATTCTTGCACAGAAGGTGGAAGTCTCCTCCTCTGGGTCCATGAGAATGTCTTTGTGAGTTGCTCTCTGACCAACATGGCTACCAAATACATCCCTGAAACATGGAAGATGCCAAATTTTAGCGGATTTTGGATTTAAACTTAATTGCTGAATAACAAGAAAGATTTCTATACCTCCCGGCCTTTCTGCCATCTGACACCACCAGGGAAGGAATCCTGCCTTCTCTGCACATCAAAGAGCAACTCACAAAGACATATTTTCATGGACCCAGAGGAGCAGGCTTCCTCCTTGAGCTTCCTCTGTGCAAGAATGAAGTTTATTTTCTACCTATGGGGACTTTTTGTCATCTTTAATTTTCCCTGAGCCTGAGGAAGGATGTGTGAGCCCAAAAGCTTGAAAAAAATTTTTTTTTTTGCGATTCCTTAGTTAGTCTAATAAAAAGAATCATCTCTGAATCAAGAGTTCCAGAGTTTTGCATTTCTTTTTGTCTCAGACCATCACGTCTACCAAATACATCCCTACTAGGGTCTACTGAAATAAATGATGTGGCCAAAATGAGCACTGTCATTTCATAATCACAGGACAAAATAAATATATCAACTAAAAAGAATTAATTCCCCCATGTTTAATCCATCTGGCATGGAACAGCAGCATCATGCTAAGAAATGACAGCCCCTAAATATTCAGTTCCTTTAGGATACAATAGGCCAGCAGGGAATGACTTATTCTTTGCATCAACTAAGCATATTCTTGACAGATTAATATCTTCCATCCATCAGGCAATGTCTGTGCACCAAAAAACCCAACAGGAGAGGACAACTTCAATCTGTGAAATATCAGCTTGGTGTGTCCCTTTCCTGGCAAAAAAAAGTTTATGAAAACCAGACTCCATTTGTTCTGCAAGTTGTTAGATGTTTACACTGTCTTAATTGTATTTTTCCAAAACAGTTGTTGAACAGTATTTAAACAGTTTCAGTTATTTTTTAACTCTGTTTCACATTAAATATTTTTGAGACTTTCAAGTTCTCATACTAGCTATCATTTATTAAGAACCTAATAGTATCCTAATAACTCACTAACAACTAACAGCAATTTTTTTTTCCAACCTGTAGGGTGAGGTGATTAAGTGCTTAAACAGTTGCACATTGTAACATAAGCCTATACACACATTTCCTTTCGATACTATTTATCTACTATGCTATATATACACTATAAATATAAAGTCTATCAACACTGAAGTCCCTCTTCTAACCCTATGATTCTACTTCAGGAGATTTTTTTCCCTGTGAATTAGCTTTCAGTTCATTTCTTGGCCTCTGCTGATTTCTACCTTTAATTTTGAATGAAGCTCAGATCAACATGACTGTTTTCATTTAACAGCTTCAGCAGTACCTTTCCATGACAAAACACTTTGTTTATGCATCAGTAAAAACAGCAAGTTCAAGAATAACTTTGGAGGAAAGAGGCTGTTAGCCAACTACTGCAGAAGAACTACAAGGCATCCATGGACTTGAATAAGGGTGGGATTTCACCTGCTGATCTCATTATTTCTTAAGGCATGGTATTAGTTCTTAGGTTCACTTGTAGCACTACAAAATGTAACACTATTGCCCCTTGTAGACCTCACACTTAAAAAGTGATTAACCAGCTTCAAATGCTGTTTGTTTCACTTTTTGTAGTGCTACAGTGGCCTAATTAGGGGTGCAAATGTGGCTTGCCCATGAACACAGAAAGGCAATACTTGCTTTTGGTATCTCTGGTCAAACTAAAATGGTCAGGGATTAACACAGAGAAGAAAATGGGATTTTCAACAGCCAAAGGATTTTTCACATCAATTTGTAAAGAGGAAAATGAGAGGGTTAAAGACTTTAAAATGCTTCTGATATAAAATACATCCAGTTTTAATAGCACATTACTCATTTTAATCATCACTGATAAGAACTGAACATTAACCCATATAACACTCATTCAAATTCAAGTCTGAAGTACTGATTGACTAACAAGTGGACAAGTACAACAGACCTTTCACAAACCTTTGTAAGATTGGGTTGTAAAGTGCTGAGAACACTTAATCCCTTAATGAAGTGGAGCTCAACCTTTTACAGCAGAGGGTGCCTTTGACCTGGTTGCACCAGGGGCCACTATTCCCCTTTGTTAAGGACAGCAGGGGGAGGGAAGTGGCTGTCAATGTCAGAAAGAGGGGAAGGAGAGAGGAAGACAATTTACCTCTGGTAAACAATCACAGGGGAGGAGAGAAGGAGAAAGGAAGGGAGAGAGTAAGTAGCCTCTGCTATAGGGAAAGGGAGCTGCAGAGGGGATTAGCAGCATGGCACAAGGCAGGGAAGGGGATACGCCAAGCTGAACTGCTTGTTACCAAGAACCAGATCCAGTCACTGCAGATTGAGCATCTCTGCCTTAATATTGGGCATACCAATATTCCTATGCAAGCAACTTGCTTCTGCATATTTCCTATTGCTTAACTTCCTTAAAATGAGCATGAATACTAAATATATGGTGTGTGCACACAAACACATACACACAGATTCTGAACTTGTGATTATTCACTTTTGCATCAGCCAACAGGCTTATGTTTGAGTATTGCATGATACATCCAGACCCCACCTGATAAGCAAGAAAGTAAAGCAAAAAGATCAAAGCCTTCCCAAAAGAAAATGCAGCAATGTCAATAAGACACCTAAACTTGCCATGGTTTAAAAATATATATATTTCTGCAACATGCATATCTGTGTGTTTTTATTAAACACATTGGTTCAAAGATATTCTACACAGCAAACAATACATAAAGCTGTCTGCAGGATTTAGCAGTCCCAAATTGGGACAATCCAATGCCATATGTTTTGGAATGATGTGCTAATTCTTAGCCAATAAAAGCTTACAAATGGAAATGCATAATTCATGAGAGTAACCTAACTGGAAGTACAAGCACTCAGTAAAATCTGTTACTATACTAATATAACTAAGTGCTTTCAGGATTTATGTTCATGGCTCCTAATTCTTAAGCTGCCAGCATTCATTCGTACATTATAAAATCAACCTCTTTTCATTTGAACCATGGGTCAAAAGCAAGTATTCCTATAGTAGAGGTAAGTTAATTATAAAGAAAGTACTGTACATGCCATTTTTGGTTCAGACTGAATATGTCTGAAACATTTTTTAAAAATCTGGCCAATAAGAATCTGCAGTGAGAGACATTTTAAAACATGCATTTTTTTCAGTGTGTTATATCTGCTGACTGCCTTCTGGAAAGACAATGTGCGTCTTCATCTTGCCGAGCCCCTTAGGCTGTCCACACTCCTGTCATGCCACATTTTAAGAACAGCAACATACATGAGGATGACTGGAGATATTTAATTAGTCCACAATACATACTTTTCTTTTTGTGGGGTGAGGGAGAGGGTAGCCCCTTCAAGCCAAATATATGGAGCACATCTCTTGTATTGCATCGGGGCTGACAGTACTTTTACTAAGAGTTTAGAGAATACAAATAGTATAGATGCTTTGGATAAAGATGATCCTCCCTCAGGCAAGGGGATGGACTAGATGACCTCTGGAGGTCCCTTCCAGCCCTGCTTCTCTGTGATTTTTCTGATCAAAAAAGACTGTACGTGTTATAGGTATTGGTCCAATAAGGGAGGAGCTGGCCGTCAGTGGAATAAAGCTCTTTGATGTGAACAAGGGTACCTGGTCCAGTGGGAAGAGGGTTTTGGAGAAATACATGCCAGACAAAGAAGCCAAAAATACAGTGTTACTGCTGTTATAACAACAGAAACTGCCAAAGTCCCACAGAAGATGAAACAGGAAGGACACCAGCATAACAGAACAAATAAGATTAGAAAGATAGTAAGTAAATGAGAAATTGTAGTTATTTCTACTTTCAAATGCTTGGGGGAGGTGTTGCTCAAATAATACATTAGGAAGCTGAACAGAGATACTGGGT